ACACACACACACACACACACACACACACACACACCACACACACACACACACACACACACACACACACACACACACACACACACACACACACACACACACACACACACACACACACCCACACACCACACACACACACACACACACACACAACACACCACACACAACACACACACACACACACACACACACACACACACACACACACACACACACACACACACGCACGCACGCACGCACACACAGCTTTTGTGTTTTTGTTATTATTTTATTATTATTTTTATTTTTTTCACCTTGCTATTACCAGTCGGACTACTCTTCATGTTTTCCGTTTCAGCTTTTATTTGTAAATAAAGTACTAGCCCCATGCTCGAGCATGGACACGATATCTTTTTATTCGTGTATCAGGTGCCCCTCAAATCATGCGACTTGCATTTATATATGCCCATATATTGCCTTTCATGTCAGTTTTCATATTTTTATCTTATTGATATGCACATGTATATAAACAGCACTCATGCCATACATTGTATTCTAATGAAGGCTGGACCCACGGCCGGAACGTCAATAAAACGACTTCATACCTGCGTCTTCTTCACTGCGAATATATATATATATATATATATATATATATATATATATATATATATATATATATATCATTATTATTGTGTTAAAACACGGAAAAACGAGCCCTTAGGTATACACTTCTCACCCTTATTTCATTGAACGAGGGTCTTGTAATGGCAGACTTGGTGTGTTTAGGTTGTATAAGAGGAACAATTAATCAGCTGCCCGCTCATAATAAGTTCACGTGCTACGTGACGCCAAACATGCGCATAAGAGTGTTTTCACATTCCTCGTTTGGCTTATAGATGGCGCTTACTGTCACTCCTACTTCTAAATTCACATATAAAACCCAAAAAAGTGAATGGAGGGAAGGCCGCTGTGGTAGCTCAGTGGTTAGAGCATCGTACGCGTTATTCGAAGGTCGTAGGTTCGATTACTGCTCACGGCTGAATATTTTTTTATCCACTTTTCTTTCTTATTTACATTTCATTGGTTCTAATAACTTCCCCTGTACATTCCTTGGCATTACTGTCTGTTAGATCTCGATATTGTATATATATATATATATATATATATAGTGAGAGTAATAATTCAATGGCCCAGTTCAGTTAGCCTTTGTGAAGGTATGGGATATGGCACAACGGGAGCGTTGTCAACAAGGATAAATATATTTATTTCCTAACAGTTTCGGGAGGGGTCCTCCCTTCATCAGGGGATGAGTTATACTGACATGAATTTCCAAACTTCGTTGCTGCCGCGTCCCTCTCGCCTTGAAACATGTTTGCGAGAGTGAGAGGGAACTGAAAAAAAAAAGAAAGAAAGAAAGTAAAACAGAGGAAGAACCACTGTCAACACTGAGAACGAAACCAACTGTCCGTGTACGTCCACATACGTTTCTTATCACGTGCTGTTCAGTTCTCGACGTGTGTCGGGCCACCCAAGATTGTCGCCGCGGTGCCGGGAGGGTCCGTGACGGCGTGCGTAAAGAAAAGGTTTCCCCGTAATGGGTCGGTCGGCATGCGGCGTGCGTAAAGGAAGAGTCTCCCGTTAATGGGTCGGTCGGCTCTTTTTACCTTTAATCTTCGTCCGTTTCCCTTCAATGGTCATCAAGTGGTAGGTGAACGAAAACACTTTGTATGTGCATGTGGAAAAAGGAAGAAAAGAAAAATTAATGAGAAAAAATGAAAACAAGAATGGACAGTGTACACGTACGAGTCAGTGAGAAAAAAGCATGGTCTCCAGCTATCAATCTTTGTCACCAATTTCCTCCTGGCTTACTTCTCAGAGGCAGTTGAGTTTACCGGGGTCCTCGTTGATGCCGGCTACTAATGTTCGAAATTTGAAAATAAAATATGCCTCACGCTGTTCGCGCTCGCGTCTGTTTGAGAAAGCGGACTGCAAAAGAGTTACGCTGATATTTTCAAAACTGTGGTTTGGCAGGCGCAGATGTCTAGATAAAGGTAGCTTCGGCAGTGAAGTGGCGTGGTACCGGTGATTATTGAACCGCAGCCGAAATGGCGCGTCTGTTTGGCCGATATATTCTTGTCCGCAGATGTTGCAATGTAGCATGTATGTTGCCATATACAGCAGCATACAGCAGCAATATACAGCAGCATGTTACAATATACATGCTACATGCTCCTCGGCGAGCATGGCTTACATTGACAATGGCTATCTACCGCAGGTGAGTAGATGCCTTTTTTTGTTATTCTATGGTCCTTTTCATCATGAAATACTCGAAAAAATGGTACTCAATTTGCCTTTAATAATTATAAAAAACAAGATCTAGTTGAGTTTTTATGTATCAAACTGAAAAATAAAACTGGGAATGAAATAAACAGAAACTCAATCCTGCAAAGAAGGACGAAACACAGGTGCTGAAACCGCAGAAAACACGCGTCATCCTTCTTAAATTCATCATCATCAACGCCCATTTCTGGGCTTTTTTTACTCGTCTGCTTCTTTTTCGCACTTTCGTTCTCTCTTTAAAAGGCGTAATATTCTAAGCTGGTTAAAACAAGTTTCTAGCACTCACCGCATTTCTTTATTAGCCGATAGTTTAGTTAAGAGCGTTAAGATTTCTATTCAGTGAGACAAATTTAGAATTGCAGATTTTGCTGGAACAAGGATGAAGAATCACTAGAAAGTAGAAGAAGAACCAAAACAACGCAAGTTCTCCCCTATTTTTGTTAGGTTTTGATCAAGGTTATTACCTATTACTAATACAAAAAACTTAATAATAGGTACAGATCAGTGATTATCAAAAATATATTCTAATACTTGTATTACGTTTTCAATTTCTAAGTTCCTTTACTCTAATGAGACCACTCGGTGATTGGCCGGTCTCCCCCAGTGGGTATGAGCCAAAAGTCAAGGGCAACAAGAACAAGAACACAAAAAACGTGTCTTCTGATCGCGTCCGCCAAAGCCACGTCTTCAGAGACTTGTCTACCTGCTACCGTTGTGAAACACGACACCTTCCGGCCTCGGCATGGCAAGGACGCAGGGCGAGGACTACGACTGGTTGCAGTCACTATCGTACCCGTCCATCAGCGTCATTATGATGTACCGAGCAGCACCAGCTGGCCTGAAAATGTTATCACGACACATGAGCTCAAAAGTAGGAGACGATATGAAAGTTGCAAAAATCTGATAAAGTCGTTGTACCTAAAATCCTGCACGATGGATCAGTTATTTTTCCCGTTTTCGTAAACAGAGGCGTGGCCGTGGATTCCAACAAATCCACGGCCACGCTCCTGCTTGTGAAAGCAGTGAAAATAACTTCATCTGATTGGAAAGGCATTGAAAGAAGCTTTCATGCTTCACAAACACATGCGTCCTGTATACATGCTTCACAATGCAACATGAATTATTGCAGTAATTGTGCATGGTCAAGAGTCCAATGCCAACGGGTGTTAGAATATGTGATTATCATAATATCTCCGTGGTTGGGAGCCGGTACACCACTACGAAAGGCACACACGCTATGGCGCCTATCCTCTTAAGGCTACATAGCGGGTGCATAGCAAATTCGAACAGTTTTCATGCCCTAAGAGTTTTAAGTATGCTCTACAGAAAAAAAAAAATATTCCTCTCACGTTCTACTCCATAAATGCAAAGCTTTGGGGTCTCAAGGGGCAATAAACTACTTTGATGAAGCCATTTGGTGGTTACCTGGAAAAGTATTGCAGGACCCATTTATTACAATAAAGTTTCGAATGAACGCTTCGGCCAACACATTCTACAGCGGACCGTGGTGTTTTCATCGTAGCACCGCTATTTCTGTCTAATTTTAGGAAGATTGGAGAGCAAAAACCGAAAATTTCCAAGAGAAAGAGAGATACAGGCACTGCCACCCACCTTTATAAATAAATACGAGAAAATTTCAAAACGGCAGAGGACAGCACAGGAAAATGAAAAAGTAAGATTGCTGGTCTGCATAAGGTGCATTGTTCATTTACGGCGATGCTGATTCTACAGAGATCGCTAGCAAAGTCCCTTCAAATTCCATGATTTAGTGTATTGAATACTGTTGGGACAAAAAGTTCATTTCTCAAAGGTTTCAACACTCTCCAAGGTGGATGTTTGCCAATACATCTAAGCATCTAGCTATATGATTATTATTGTTACCATTTGACCGCTACAATGTACCACTGCATTTTCACTCGTTCAACTTACAGAGCTTTCATGAGGTGGAAAATAATTTCTTAGAAGCCCATTGTAGCTTTGTGGCTGTCTTTATTGAGACATATTTTAATTCATGATCAAACAACGCTGAAGCGCGTGAAGGTGATTTTGTGCCGATTCCCTGTTACCTGCAACTTCGCATTGTTTGTTTGGTCAGAACTTTCCATTCTCATCATTTTTTTCTGTCCTTACATGAAGTCAACAAACAATTCCGCACTAGCCATGTTGCTGCCCATAGTAATACAGGCGAAGTCCACAATGAATGAACATACGAAAAAATGCATGAACACAGCGTTTTTCAGAACGCATTTTAATAAATATAGCCATAAAATATAACGACTTCAAGATATTACCATATTTTCGATAAGTGAACACAACAAAGACATGACGACACTGCGGCGCGAGAAGCTGGTGCGACCTTCAACTGCCTCCTCTCAGGGAAGGGACGAAAGAATACTGCGATTTGTCTTTACCATTTTCTTCGGCGTGTTCAGGTGCAAGATCACCACCGCTACCGTATCGAAACCTCGTCACCCTGATTTGTGTTGGCAGAGCATTCTAGGTGCAGCCTTGAGTATTCTCGCCTTCGCCCATACGCACCACATGCCACCGGCAGCAGTGGCTACCTGCGAAGCCTTGGTGTGCTCCGAAAATAAAGGGGATTGTTCTAAAGGACATTTTAGATATCCAACAGCAATAGGTGTGCTGTCGCCGAGGTGGTGAGGCTGCAGCTTATGCGACGCTATTTAGTTCTCCCGGGCTTCGGGAAAGCCGATGCTGAAGGATATGTTGACGACGGCTCTGGCTGGGTACGACAGTGGCCACAGCAGGTCGTACTCCCCGCGCTGCTTTTTTGCCTTTCCGTCTCCGACGGCTACTTCATCCACATGAAAGGACGTCCCTTGGCAGAAACAGCACAGCTTCGTCCTCTCCGAGCCACTGTAGTTCTCCCGGGAGTAGTGAGAGTCGATGCTGAAGCACACGAGGGCTACGCTTGCTGCTGGTACGACAGTGTTATATATATATATATATATATATATATATATATATATATATATATATATATATATATATATATATATATATATATATATATATATATATAAGTGGTTATAACAGAAGAAAAGAAAAGAAAGGTGCCGACCCGTAACTGTCTCTCCTTACGAGGACACCTCAACAGGTCAGCAGAGGAATGGGATATGGGGAATAAAAGATATAGGGAGAAGGAAGGAGGGATAAAAAGAATAGAAGGAAAATAGACGGAGAAGAAGCCGCCAGCCAACGAGAGGAAAAAAGAAGGAGATAGGAAAGTGGGGATCCGGTCGAAGCAGTCCAAGGGCGGGGTGCCACAATGCGAGAGCTGCACGGCTTCAGGAGACCGCGGAGGGCGAACCAGTCGGCGGGAGCTACGCTGAAGTCGGAGATCGCGAGGGCACAACCGTCCAGCTTGAAATCCTGCGAGCGAATGCCGGTACGACAGTGGCCGCAACCTGTCGTAGTCCTCGCGCTGCTTCCTTGTCTTGCCGACTCCGACAGCTGCTTCGTCCACAAGAAAGGTTGTGCTCGGCAAAAACGGTGCAGTTCCAGCCTCTCCGAATCCGTGTAGTTGCCGCGGGAGTCGTGAGAGTCGATGCTGAAGGACACGGGGACTACACTTTCTGCTGGGTACGAAAGTGGCCGCAACCGGTCGTAGTCCTCGCGCTGCTTCCTTGCCGTGCCGATTCCGACAGATACTTCGTCCACAAGAAAGGCTGTGCCTCGGCAGAAATGGTGCAGCTCCAGCCTCTCCGAGTCCACGTAGTTGACGCGGGAGTCAGGAAAGTCGATGATCAAGGCCACGAAGGCTACGCTTGTTGCTGGGTGTGACAAATGCCGCAACCAATCGTAGTCCACGCGTAGCATCCTTGTCACGCTGATTGCGGAAGCCAATATACTTCAAGTGAAAAATAGGCACAGGGACCTCTGAAGACGTGGCTTTAGCGGGGCCTATCAGAATATACGTCATCCACGGACGTTGTGTTGTTCTTCTTCTTCTACTTTGTGTACTTTCCTGTGTATATTGTTCATGTAACTCTACATTTTGTCTCAATAAATATTTGTCTTAGGGGCTGAAACTAACTTATCGGCTGAAAAAAGAGTGCAGGGAAGGCTCCACATTCATTTTCACCAAACTTGATTATCCATCATTTCAAAGAGAAAAAAAAATCAGATAAAAAGCATACGAGCACAGGAAATGAGAAAATTTGACATTGATGATGATGCTCAAAAGAACAGCGCGTGTTTTATTGCTGTTTCAACGCCCTTGTTTCGTTGTTTCAGCACCCACTTTTCTTCTTTCACACTTACTATATAATTCGGTCTAGTAACTTCCCCTATACTTTCCTTAGACTTATCGTCTGTTATACCTAACTGATGTTGTCTAAAACACGTAAAAACGAACGCTTAAGGGTACATTTCCTTCCCTCATCATTAGCGAGGGTCTCGCCCTGACACACTTGGTGCCTTAAGGTTGGATACGAGGGACTATTGGTCAGCTGCCATCTCTAAGTAAGTTCACGGGCTACGTGACGCCAAACACGCTCATAAGAGTGTAACACACTTGCCGCCATGGCTTTTAGCGGCCCTGACTTACATTCTCATGTTTAAATTCACATGTATACCCAATAAAGTGGCTGAGGGGATAGCCGCCATGGTAGCTCAGCAGTAGAGCATTGACCACGTTATTCGAATGTCGCAGGCTCGGTATATATATATATATATATATATATATATATATATATATATATATATATATATATATATATATATATATATATATATATATATATGTGTGTGTGTGTGTGTGTGAGTGTGTGTGTGTGTGTGTGTGTGTGTGTGTGTGTGTGGGTGGGTGTGTGTGTTGGTGGGTGGGTGGGTTGGGGGGTGGGTGTGTATACAAGGTTTTCTAATTTTGTAATAGGTTTGCCCGAAATCCTCGAAGAACATACGTTTGCTTTTTTCTCTCACAGCGAGCACCTTGTGAAAAACTTTAGATATTGTAGCTAGGCGCTTGTGCCAATGTGAGAATTAAAGATATCTGCATGCGATGAATCCATCTTGCTTTGAGATAAAGCATATGTGAGCCCCAAGTAATTTTTGATGTATGAATGTAGGAAACCCATGTTTATTTCATTCTCACTCCTTCCTTCTCGGCTTCTATATCTAACTCCTAACCATCGCTACCTTCTTACGTTTCATATATATGAGTGTGTGTGTGTGGGTGTGGGTGTGTGTGTGTGTGTGCTGGGTGAATTTTATTTTGGGTGTTTATTTTGTGGTGAATTTTATTTTATGTGTGTACTGGGTGAAGTTTATTCTATCATTGGCGATAGTAATAAGTAAAGTGAAATGTGTCTTCTTAATCAGTGGAACTAGGCAGTTATGTGAAACATCACAATGAGTGCAGCTGCAAGAAAAAATTTTCAAGCCATGGAACAACTCTCGTATTCTCACACTTATGAAACATTCTGACACATTCCTTGAAACATCCGGTGGTTGCGTGTGCGTGCGAGGGTGGGTGCTTTTCGACCTGCTATTAACGAAAGTAACTAAAAATAAAATGGGGGTGGCCCACACAACCAGAAGGTAGAACGGGCTCAAGGCAATGTAACGCAAATAAAGAGGGGAAATGTTACAATGTAACTAAAAAAAGACAAATCGTGGAACAAAGGAAATGACAAAGGCAAAACCTGATGATTGTGGCATGAAAGTCCAAGCAATAAACCGAATAGGTACTCAGGAAGGAGCAGGTCGACGTGCATCAGCTGTGTATTTTCCGAGGTTCAGTCTTCAGCGTTTGTGCGTGTGTCTGCGTGTTTCTTTCAAATGCGTTGCTGTTCATGTCTGTGTGGGAGGGGAGTGTGGGAAGATCACTGCATACCTGTTAGAATGATAAAAAACTGATAACAAACATGTCTTTTTTAGAAAATTCACCCACTCGTTTGGTTTTTACTAAAATTGGGGAATAAACAAAAGTTCGTGCCAAGATGCCACCAGAATTGCTCGCATCTAAGCAAACGTTTTGACGATAGCAAGTTCTTTAGATGTAACCTTGGAAGAGGCTAGCGTTTTCGAGCATATTTATCACTTCATTGAATGCAGACTACATACAAAGGGACCTAGTAAGTCGGGATCTTAATGGTAATGTAAGTAATTGAGATCCCGTACGTTTCCGTGTAAGTAACTTCCCGGTGATCAGTGGGGTGTTTTCAACAATATTTTCCAACTGACAAAGTGTCATTATATGTTCGTTTATTTAGCAGTATGAAGGTTTTGATCTTTTATCTTGTGACATCAACATGAGATCTTCACCGCAAGTAGATGCTGGACTTGCGACATTAAAATTGACATTGATGGTGTACTGATGGGGCGTTTGACATTTGTTCGCACTAAATCTTGTCCACATATACCCTTCCCCACTAAATATTTCAGTCTCCTGGAATAGAGTTCATATACTAAAGTTGTAACTTTCTATGGAAGTAGTGAGCATAGTCAGTTAGAAAATCATACATATGTACCTGTGCTGCTATTCCTTTTGAATGTCTTTTAGGAGGTAGTAAATATTAAGAGATGAAAAGTTGTTGAAAAAAATATTGCAAGGCGTATCCTTCGTTCCAACACGTTGTCTTGTTTCGGTTTTTCACTTTTATTTTGTGTCAGACCACATCTTCATTCTCAAACTTCGCCTCATAAAGTCGGCTACAACTTAAGAATAACTAGGATCTTCGCGCCTGAAGTGCATACTTGTCACATATCTGGGCAAGGGAGTCGGAGTAGCTGGCATCACCTATTAACGTAAATAGATTTTTCTGAAGCATTACAAGAAGTTGGTGCAGTAGTAATTGAAGGTTCGTCATCTATACCTAAATTATTGTGTTTCCTAGTCACGTGTGAATCTGTGGGAATAGTGACGTGAGAATCTTTGCTGAAATTTCCAGGAAGTTGGAGTTTGTGGACCGAAAATATTGACACGATGAGAAAATCCCCTTCGTGAACTGCGCGACTGCTTTTTGATTTCAACAAAATGAGCTAATACAACTCACTGGTGCTTCCACGCAAAACTTCTTGTGGACATACAGCGATAACAGTGTGTGGACTTAAAATTCATTCCCTGTTTGAAGCTGTCTCTTATGCTCCCTTCGCACCGATAAGAAACAGCACGTGCCTTGAATCAATCGGTGCAGCCCTGTCGTCTTATTCGAGAAAGTAATACTATTCTACGACAAGCATGCTTCCACTAAGTAAGTTATTATTGACAGGAGTGGTGTAATGCCGATGTTGCAGCAAGCGTACGGATGCTTGCACCCGCGACGTCGTCATCTTCTTCTAGGACCACGGTGGCGATGACGCAGGGGACGTGGACTCCACGAAGACGCCGCTCAACCTCAATTTTTTTCGAAGGCAACAGCCACTTGAAAAAGCTAAATGAACACTAAAGCCAAAGAACAATTTAGGTCCGAATAAAATGTCAATGTAAGGCAAAGTCTAAAACGAATATATTATCAACAGCATTGCCCTACTTACCGAGAAACTAATGTGAATGCATGAGAACACTTGCGACACGAGAAGGACATTCACAAAATGGTCCAGAAGACGTCACACTTACGACCTGCAAATAATCCCTAGTAATAGAACTAACTCCACAATTAAGAACCATCCCCACATTACGAGACGTAATAAAATGCTGCATGTGCGTTACTGGTTATGTCATGGAAAAAGAACCACCGGATCTTACTATGGGGAAAAACGCAAGTGGTTTAAAAGCTCAAAATTTGCCTGGTAAAACTGAACGTGTCATGTCATCTAGCGGCGCCAAAATGCCTCTCTTCTCGGAGAATATTGGCAGGAAATTTTTCGATGGCCGTTGTTGCTGCTGTGGCTCCCGCTACTTTCGTTCTATAGTGCTGCTAGTGTCAGCGACCATGCAATTAAACCACGCAGCTTTGTGCACGGCAACAGTGGCATGAAAGACAGAGTTTCTGAAATATACAGTAGAGGGAACTCGTGAGCTAGCTTTCATGAAAGCAACGCATGGCGCTTCAGCGACCATGGGAATTACAGGTACGACAAGAATTTGCCCAATCTTTGGTTTCTTCTGTCTTAGCGTGTCTTGAATCTGCTTTTTAACGAAATGACCATCGACAAATGTTTGGCAGTTATGCTCCGCTATTTTCCTCTTTTAGTATCACCATTTTATATAACCTCACGATGTTCAAAACGGTTTGTTCTTTCTTTCAATACAAAACCGAAACACAGCAATAAACGAAGCCAAAAGTGTGCTCGCCTCCCGCAAGCACGAAAGCTTGGCAAATCCGTTCCATACCCAAACTTCACATGTTCGCTGAACGATCGCAGGGCCAGAGTCCCCTCTAGTTAATTTTAAGAAACTGTATGTGAAAGTTTTCAGTTGAGGCGGGTAAATTGAAGGATGCTAACGTGATGCGGACCACGAAAACTTGATTTTTTTTTCAAAATAAGCACTCTCTTGGCACAATTTATCACCAAGAGGTTTCTGGATGAATGTTTGAGCAATGAACATCGGGTAACTACTTCAAGCAAGTGTGCTTGAAGTAGTTACGAAATGAGGGTTTAGAAGAATCTCTGAAAGGCCACTCTTCTAGCTTTCGCTATGACTTCATGTGCTGCACTTTCCACGAAGGCCTGGCGTATTTTGTGGGCTAAGAAGAGAGTGCGCTCATATACGTCCTTCTTAATGAACCCAAAAATTCTTTGAATATGCTCGCAAGCCTAGGAACCGCCTTGATTATTTCGGTGCTTATGCTCTGTCTCGGAAAAGGTGACTGAACGGCGGTTGTTCTTTCAACATGGCCACCACAGTGGTGCTCTAGGCATGATTCGAAAAC